TGGTCAAAATTGAAGCCACTTCTTTTCACAAAACTCTTCATACAGTCTAAATTACCAACATGCATCTTGGCCAGACAATTAATCTCACCTGCAAAAGTCACTCAAACCACCGAAACACTTCATACAAGTCTCAAAATGAACTTGTTCAACCAAAACACTGGCAACAAGTCTCACTCAGAAAGCATCCATTGTCAATCATAACACACTGACCTACAAAACACTAACAACAGGAAGCATTATCTAAATTTGATTAACTTTATCTTCGAAATGTGACAGATCTTTCATATAAATCAGATCAGATTAATCATTTCTCAGATCAGAATTGAATCATCTAGTCACGTGTGCACATCATATGTAAAAGTAATTTCAATCAATTTGTGAAATTGGCAAACGCTTTGACACATTTATGCAAATGATTATGTACAATTGTCTGCTGTTTCCTACATTATCAGTTGCTTACTGTATGTCATGTTGATTACAATGTATTACAGTTTACTGGTTCTCTGTTGCCCCCAAAACATCTAGTCATAAGTTCATTGCATAAGTCGCTACATGCAAAATGGTTGAACATGTAATAATGTGCAAATAATTTTTTCTACATGTGCATTACTTTTTTTTGTGTACTATGGTAAATTGATGAAGATATCTGTTATGATGTCAATAAGAAACTGTGAACGATTGTAGAAATGTACCAAAGCAACTGAGAAAAACTGCATTCAGCAATTTACTTGGAGATAAAAAGGTCCTGAAATTTCAGCGCTGCAATGCAGTTTTTCTCAGTTGTTTACACAGTAACACTGGTACGTGAGACACAGTGACCACAACTTGTAATAGAAGCATCAACCACTTGAAGCAATTCTGCTAAAATACAAGCACATTTCCTGCTTTACACTCAGCTTGCAGTTTTACAGTAAAACCTGTAAACATAAAATGTACGTAAATGTAAAAGGTTTTCGATATATTTCAGTCTGGTTGCTGCAAAAATGCAGCATATTTGCAATAATTCTGTTTTGAAATGTGCTGCAGATATATAGAGTTTTGCAGGTGGTGAAGTAGTAATGAGAAAAGAGTTCATGGATTTTGGAGAAAGTAGTCATTGAATGCATTTTGTGTAAAAGCAATGAAAAATGATTCATACTTTGGTCCACATATACTTCTGTTTCGCTGACTGCGTGAAGAGTTTTGACAGTGTGTGAATTGAAAAAAACTCCGAAACTCACTCAAACCACCAACACACTTCATACACGTCTCCAAACAAACTTGTTCAACCAAAACACTAACACCAGGGAGCATTATACATAAATGATAAACTTTTATCTTTAAAGCTTGAATGATTTTTCACATAAATCTCATAAATTCATTATAGACTAAGAATAACAGATTTTGACTTTATTGACTGTACGCAAGTATTATGTAACAAGAATAAATCAGAAATGCAGAATTTTTGTTTAATATAAATTACTATTTAATTTTTTTCTATATCATTGCATATAGTCATTTACTATAAATAATTAAGATAAAAAGTTGAAAAACTAATTTCTGAAATTTCAGTGCTGCAATGCAGTTTTTCTCAGTTGTCACAACGACCACAACCTGCATGCACCAACCATCTGAACCAATTCTGCTAAACTGTAAAGCACATTTTCTGCTTTACAGTCAGATCGCAGCTCTAAACAACACTTTTTTCAAAACACTACGCACATAGACGTAAATATTCTGCTAAGATGTTCAATATGTCTCAATGTGGTTAGTGCTGAAATGCACGACATTTATCATCATTCTGTTTCAGCTTTGACCGACGCATGTTGGCAAAAGAAAACAACTGTAATTTAGACCTGCACTCCATTGTAGTACCACTTAAATCCTCCAGGTGGCAGACATATGCAACATTACACCATCAACTCTGGTCCTGTCCTTTAATAAGATTAGAAATAAATAATATATAGAAATTTTGTTTCTATATTCAGATGTTGTCTAACATTTCCTATGTGATATTTGCATTTTAAAGCACTTTGTAAGTTTGTTTTTAATATCTCAAGTAGAATTTTTAATCAATTAGTTTTATTTATTAAAGTTTGGTTTGTGTTGTTTCTTTAGTGACGGTACAGGCCGGACTGGGACTTACATCCTGATCGACATGGTTCTCAATCGCATGGCTAAAGGTGAGCTTTACTGTAGTAATGCTCATATCAGAAGGGTTTTCACCTCTCTTGACAGTCAGTGTCACACTGCCTTTTTCCCACCATTATTCAATCAGTTTTTTGATCCCAACAAAGTGAAGGACGTTCAGATTAAGATTTGATCACAAGTTTAGACCTGATGTCTCCTCAATGTTCAATTTGTAAATCAGAGATTGAGTCGCTTTGTTATTTATCTTATCTCTTTATTAATGTGTGAAACTCATAATATCTTGGTCCCTTTGTCCAAACGTATGGTCTTATTTTGAATGTCAAATCCATCAACTGTAAAATTGTTATGGGTTAACATCATATTCATAAAAACAATATATTGACCTTAAATCCCTATATTTTTCCAGTGGCAGAGTTTTAATAAAAATAAAAAAATGGTTAAAGGCATCCAATATTTTGAAACATATATATGTATTTTGGATCTCAGCCAATGGATCGATTTTGGCCCAGTCCATTTCTGATCTGACACTTAAAAATATATTTTTTACACATAAACTTAATAAAATGTTATTATAATTATATATATTTGCTACAATCTGAATTGACAGGGACAGGATGTGAACTCTGGTCTCTCTACGGGGCCAAAGGTTAAAGTATTGCACGCTTTCTGAGGATGCATAAGTGTGCGTGTTACTGGTGCAATGAATGTGTGTTACCTTTTCTGCTGCAGGTGTGAAAGAGATCGACATCGCTGCTACGCTAGAGCATGTCCGAGACCAGAGGCCTGGGATGGTTCGCACCAAGGTCTGTCCAACTGTGTGTGCTGTTGAACTTCATGAGTAGATAAAGGTTACTGAAGAATGTGCCCAAAGTAGCTTCTGTCTCAGTGGAAATTAGAAGTGGAAGCTCAAGTTTTGTTCTTGAGGTGGGAACCAATGGAATAAAGGTTAGAGAAGAGGACCTGAACATATACGGTCACGCGATGAATCCCTCGGATCGAACAGCTCGGGGTGTTGGAGTTCTGTTGACTGACAATTTCGAAGTTGTATGTCTGAAGGAAAAAGTAGAAGGCTCTGAGAAAGAAGAGGTGGTGGTGAGTCTACGATCGAGTAGTTAAAAGACTGGTCAGAAGTTCTGAAGAATTTTGAGGCCAACGTCCAGAAGAAAGCCTAAAAGGCTTATAAAACGATGAGTTCATTGTCCCAGGCATTTAAGGAGGTTGTTAAATTTGTGAATTTTAAAGACAGATGTCCAAAGGAAAAACAGAAAAGCTCTTGTGTGTCTTAGATCAAGTAGTTCAGGAGGACACAAACTTCAGACTCATGAGCTCTTGAGGTTTCGACAAGGTGGAAGAAATAAGAAGACAAAATCTGAACAAAATAAAACGGATGCTCTGAGGCTTTAGATTCGATTGAAGCTCGCTGTCTACAGCAAGGAGTGAAAAAAATCCACGGAGGATGCTTTGGAGGTCTTGAGGCTCTGGGTTCAATCCTCAGCTGAAGATTAGTATTTTGAAAGCTGATGTCTGAATGGAAGATTTAAAAGCACCAGGACACAAAGTTTGTTTGTCTCAACCAATAGCTCAGTGTGTTGGAAGCATGTTTGGCATGTCTGAGGCTCTGGGTTCAATCCCCATTTGAAGATGAGTGTTTTTAAAGCTGACGTTTAAAGGAAAAAGTGAAAAGCACCAAGAAACAGAGTTCATCTCTCTGGGCATACAGCTCAGAATGGGGGATCTGGGTTCGAGGCTCAGTGACTTTTGAAGGCCACAACCCTAAAAGTGAGAAGATAAAAGCGCCCGGAGAAAAGGTTTAAATGTGAAGGGGACTTGGTGGCGTGGCTGGTTTGACAGTGACCGTAAGGCGCCAGTGGTGCAGTGTCTAAGGTTCAAATCCCGCCTACGGCCAGTACCCGGAGCTGAGGGAGGGGGCCGTGTCCCCTCCCGATGTTACGGAGAGGTACAAACTGGGGGTTATGGGATGGAAAATTAAGTAAACAGAGATTTTTAATAATGTTGGAGAACTGAAGAGTAGAGATGCACAATATAATTACTGAACCCAACAATTTTATTCAGCTTGTCCTTTCTTATATTATATCATTTAGTTCAGACACACCTGCCTCACGTTAGCTGTGAAAGGTAATTTTCTGTCCTAACATGTATGGCTTCTTGTTCCCAGGACCAGTTTGAGTTCGCCCTGACAGCCGTCGCTGAGGAGGTCAACGCCATCCTCAAAGCTCTGCCCCAGTGAAACCAGTATGACCCCGCACCCTCGCCCTGTCATAACTTGCCTTTTCTCTCTATGATTATCATGAAGAAGTGCTTCTCCATCTGCCCTCTGAAACATAAAGATTTAAAAACAATTTGGAAATAAGGTTTAGAATCAGGCGACTTTAAGGTTAGGACGGATTTTTAAATATTTGTTCAGGGGTTAGAGATGCAAAAAAAGAAGTGTTAAAAATGAAAGCGGGTTGGTTGTTTGTTGAAATTGTGCTACTGTTGGGTCATCATGTTTGTTTTTTGTCTCTCTTGTCAAGGTAAAATTATTGATGGGAAAAAAGTGTTAAAAGATCCCTGGTTAAGTACAGGATGTTTTGCAATGCGGTTAGGGGTGAATTCTGATTGATTGCACATCTGTAGCTTCCCTTCCTCTCTAACACCTGACTAACACCTGCAGAAAATAAAAACACCGTACCGTCCTTCTCTTTGTGTGCCATCATCACTGGATATAGTGTTGTTACCTCATGCAAATCAGAAAATTAAAAAAAAAAAGAAAGAAAGAAGAGAAATTGCTATTCTATGAAAAAAAGAAAAGCTATTTTGTATATGTGAGTCCTTAAATAAATCTTTTCGTGTTTAAGTGCTGCAATCAGCTGTGTGTCTTCTATGACTTAATGTACTTACAATAAACAGCTGTACACACAAACATATGCATAACAAGTAACTTAACTAAATAAATGCACTCAAATCAAAAGTTAAAATGAGGCTGCAGAAGTCAAAGTTAATCTTTTATGTTAATAATCTTCTAAATGTCTATTAAAAGACTTTTAAAATATGTTCGGTGTTTTAAGAACTACTGCAGTCCTTGTTGATTGTTGTTCCGACACATTCAATAAAACGTTTGTACTACGTCTGTCAAAGTATCCTGTTAAGTGTTGTATTTGAATTTAAGATAAAATGAATTAATCAGCTGTGTTGGTGAAATATGAAGTTCGTGTCGGGGCTTTTTAACAGTATGTGAAAAGTAAAAATCCATATGAAATGTTCACATTTCACAACAAATTTATGTTAAATGTTCTTTCTGTAAACTAGAAGTTTAACCCATTAGTTATTTTACTACTTATTCTCAACAAGTCTGGATAGAAGTTGCTTTATTGATATATTTTTTTCAAAGTATGAACACCCATATTAGGAGACATGGTCTTTTTTCCTCAACTGACTCAGCCAATCAATAATTATCATTAGTCAAATTCTAAAGTCTATATAGTAATTTATATTTTCCTCATACAATGAGTTTGTTTTATTTTGTATTTTTATTATTCTACCCTGTTCCAATATGTCTTTGTATTTTCTGTTTTCTGCGAACACACATTAACTGAGCGCATCATAAAGCTTCAGACGTTTCAGCAGTGGATGCTACTTTACGGTAAGTGTTACGACATAGCAACAGGCTAGGCTAACCAGCCGTGTAGGCCACGCTGATTTAGTCGCGGCTCGACTCGTACGTCTATATAAATACAGCTTGGGTCATACTAGGATATGTACAAATACTGGCCCACAAATCTCATCGCACCAGTTTACCTGCTGCTGCTGCTCCAGGGTTTAGCCTGGTCCGGACGACACACGCGGTCACTCCAGTCCCAGGTTTTATATTAACCACTTCATGAAATGGATGTTCAGTCCCATCACTTTTTGGAAGCATTTGTTTTAAAGAAACACCCTTTTTGCCCCCCCCCCCTTTCTTACAAATGAAAATAGCTTGAAAGAGGATTAACTGCGCAGTAAGAAAACATGCAATTTAAATATGGACCAAATGTGGATCGTCTCATCTCCACTTTCCAACACAAAGTCACGCCCTTGTTAATTGAAGTTGCAGCTAATGCTCATACCAAATACTCACAGGACACAAAAGGCTTCATTTGTTTTTCAGCAAACGTTTCGAGAGCCAAAGCATCAAAAACTCACTGGCTCCAACCTCTTTAATGTTTCCTAGTTTAGGTGCCGCTGAGATGAACCTGCTGCTGTCAGAAGTAAACACGGGACAAGTAGTGACTTAATGTCTTTTATTAGTTTGCATTATTAACGCTGGGGCATGAAACTCACGTAGCTCACTGGAATGTGCAGAATTAAAAAGGAATGAGTCCAATATTTCTTGGCAACGAAACACTTTTGGTGTTCGGCTTCACTTCCTGGGACAGATGGACTGCGATGGGAGCGAGCTACAGATCGCTCTGTGACCTAGTACTCCTCGCCTTCATCCTCCTCGCCAACGCTGTCGGTTCCCACCTCTTCGTAATCCTTCTCCAGTGCAGCCATGTCCTCTCTGGCCTCTGAGAACTCTCCCTCTTCCATCCCCTCTCCCACGTACCAGTGGACGAAGGCCCTCTTGGCGTACATGAGGTCAAACTTGTGGTCGAGTCGAGCCCAGGCCTCTGCGATGGCGGTGGTGTTGCTCAGCATGCACACGGCCCTCTGCACCTTGGCCAGGTCTCCTCCGGGAACCACAGTGGGAGGCTGGTAGTTGATGCCCACCTTGAAGCCAGTGGGACACCAGTCCACAAACTGGATGCTGCGTTTCGTTTTGATGGTGGCGATGGCGGAGTTGACATCTTTGGGCACCACATCGCCACGGTACAGGAGACAGCAGGCCATGTACTTGCCGTGGCGAGGGTCGCATTTCACCATCTGATTGGCTGGCTCGAAGCAGGCGTTGGTGATATCAGCCACTGATAACTGCTCGTGATAGGCCTTCTCTGCTGAGATAACTGGGGCGTAGGTTGCCAGTGGGAAGTGGATACGTGGGTAGGGCACCAGGTTGGTCTGGAACTCCGTCAGGTCCACGTTCAAGGCGCCGTCGAAGCGCAGGGAGGCTGTGATGGAGGAGACGATCTGTCCAATCAGCCTGTTGAGGTTGGTGTAGGAGGGACGCTCGATGTCCAGGTTCCTGCGGCAGATGTCATAGATGGCCTCGTTGTCCACCATGAAGGCGCAGTCAGAGTGCTCCAGGGTGGTGTGGGTGGTCAGGATGGAGTTGTAGGGCTCCACCACGGCCGTGGACACCTGGGGGGCGGGGTAAACAGCAAACTCCAGTTTGGACTTTTTGCCGTAGTCGACAGAGAGACGCTCCATCAGCAGAGAGGTGAAGCCAGAGCCGGTTCCTCCTCCGAAGGAGTGGAAGATGAGGAATCCTTGGAGCCCTGTGCACTGGTCAGCCTGAAAAGTTAAGCAGAAGGATTGTTGATATATTTGAACGTAAACAAAAAACGCACACCTCCCTCGAGAACTGCCACCAGATGCTGATTGGCTGAACAATGGTGTGGAAGGTCTGTACGGTTTCCCCATTAACAAACGCCACACATCACACATCCTGAGGATCTTGAGCTCACCAGCTTGCGTGTCCTGTCGAGAACGAGGTCGATGATCTCTTTGCCGACTGTGTAGTGACCGCGGGCGTAGTTGTTGGCTGCGTCCTCCTTACCGGTGATCAGCTGCTCGGGGTGGAAAAGCTGGCGGTAGGTTCCAGTTCGTACTTCATCTGAGGTAGAACGAGAAAACGGACTTACAGTGATGCGCTAATCAACAGGTGTCCACAGGAGCTTTCTCAAACTCAAAGTTAGCACCAAATACAAGATCTGTAATATTGTGTGTGCATTAAAGAAATGACTCCCCCACAATGAAAGGCAGCAGCGGACTCTTATTTAATTTTACCTATGACCGTTGGCTCCAAGTCCACAAAGATGGCCCTGGGAACGTGTTTGCCGGCTCCAGTCTCACTGAAGAAGGTGTTGAAGGAGTCGTCTCCCCCTCCCATGGTCTTGCCGCTGGGCATCTGACCGTCCGGCTGGATTCCATGCTCCAGGCAGTAAAGCTCCCAGCAGGCATTGCCCATCTGGACGCCGGCCTGGCCGACATGCATTGAAATACACTCACGCTGTAGAGAAAAGAGAAAGAAATCTCATTTAGAGGCAATATAGTATTTGTAAATATTTGTTAGAGTAAATGTTCACCTCTCATATAAAGATACACTTCGCATTTTGAAAGTTCCTGCTCTGTATCAATCAGCTCGTCCTCTGCAGTGCAGACACTGACCCAGATAACACGTTAACTCCTCAGAGCCTCTACACGAGATGGCCTGGTTTTATTATAAAAAGAAACGCCACAGCACAATCGTGATGATATTTAGTATTAATTTTACATGTATTAATAATCATGCAGTTATTCTTGCTTCATGCGTTCACTGTAGTTCTCCCGGTTTAATCGGTTTGCAGCTTAATAGGGTTGAAAGTTTTCCTAATCAACATCCCTCATAAAACAAATTTTTTGTGTGTTAAATGTCCGAAGTGCAGCCATTGATAAATTACATAAAATCAGTTGCAGTTTAATTTTACATTGATCAATTAATCGACTGATCAATCAAGAAAACAGGCTGAAAGCAGCAGTACAATACTGAACTTAGTGAACAGATGACGACTCAAGTCTTTATTTGTATATTGTTGTTTTTGGTCTTTTTTAAAGCTTAAGCATGTTTATATGCAAGTGTATGGTTGTATCTGCAAATGTGCATTAATGTACAGCTGCACAGATCTGGTGAAGAATCATTAACATTGCCATATTGAGTGAATACTTAAAAAAAAAATTTGACAGTCACTCCCTTCTGCCCCCTTGGACCTCATTTCAGTCAGTCAATTTAAAAAACATTTTGTAATGAAAGAAAATTGTAACAGTAAATTAACAGCTGTGTGAGAGAACAAAATAATGTAGAATCATGATTTAGATTTCTTTTTTTATTCAAAACTCCAACACAAATTGTCACAGCCTTAAATTTTTAGGGACGCCATCATAAATGTTTAGATCAATCTATGAGTCAACTACTAAATTAATCTGCAACTATTTTCATAGTCGATTTTAGTCATTTAAAAAAAAAAAGAATCTAGCTTCTTAAACGTGAATATTTTCTGGTGTCTTTGACAGTAAACTCAATTTGGATTGTGAACAAAGCAAGAAATTGGAGGTACGTCATCTTTGGCTTTGGAAAATTGCCATTGTGCACCATTCATCTTGTGGACCACATAACTACTCCAGTGGTCTAGAAATTGAACAATAACAGTTAGTTGCAGCTTTTAAACTTAATTTTCATTATAATCTTTATTAAAATCCAGTGTCATTCATGCACTTTCAAACACTGCACACTCGGCGGGAGTCTTTCTAAAATCCCTCGCCTCGGGCCATGATATCTTTAGGCCTGATGAATTGTGTGTGCTGAGTCACATACAGCGGCTTACTGCAGACCTGTGGTGGGTCAACTCTCCTGCCCCTCCCGACCAGAGGAGCAGCAGATCAGTAAAAGACACCCAACAGGGAGGAAGAGGGGGAAAAACACAGACAGGAAGAGGCTCCCGTCCCCCCTGCCCCCACACTGCTGCTGCTGCCGCCGCTTCTGCAGCAAAGCCCTACCTTTGTGTGGCGTTCACGGACAGGGCGTTATCTGATGGCGTCTGTGCACAATCGGCCACATGCGCACACGGTTTTCTACCGACTAACGTTCCTGAAACGACTTATTTTAACATCAGTAAGACGTTATTTATTCAACGAGTACGACGTTATTTGTAAGATTGGCGTAAGATAAAACCGACGCGTTTAATTGTAATTTTAG